CAACTGTCAGCCGGATCACTCGACACCGGTTCCATAGAATGTTTCTTATAATTCAACTGAGATGAATCGGACGAAGCTTCAGTCACAGGTGGTACCGTAGGGTTACGCGATGTTGTCTCGCACTCGGGATGGGTTGGAGAAAGGAAACTCTTAATGGTGGTTTTGTTATATAAAATATATTATATACAAAACAGTCTGGTGCTGGGAAGTTGGTGCTTGGAAGAGGAGACGAGACGCGGCGTGTTCAGGAACGTAGGGTAGAATGAATTTCAACGGCGAGACCGAGAGGTCATACACTCGGCTACCGGAAGTAAACCCGGATGCCAGCGTCGCAGGTGGCGACCCCCCCCCACCCCCGTGAGAAAGTCGCCGAATCCCGTCTCATTGGAATGCGGCTAGGCTCGTCAGTTTGTAGGAGAGTATCCACTACGGTACTTGCATTGCTGTAGGTGGCGATTTACTTAATCTCAGCTGACCTCGTTTCGTCATCCGAATGACTAAAGTGAACCTCTACTGTGTCATCCTCTGGGAGTTTACTGTCACTGGGCTCTGAATCTCCTTTTGGTTTAAAAAAATGTCAGCTTTGGCTACTTTTAAGTTCCTCTTTCGTGAGCAGGGCCTCTCTACATATCAGGGCTGGTCGACTTGAAACCACACGAATGACTCCAGTCATGTCTCACTTTTGTGTGTGTGTTGGGAATTTGTACACTATCAATAAATATACAGTTAATGAAAAATGTCTCAATGTTTTAATTTCCTCAATATAACTGCATATGGCTTCCAAATTCTGCAAAGAAGTGTTGAAATTTCAATATTTTTTTTCCGGGGGGGCTTACAGCTCCCCCGGAACTCCCAGATGTTTAGGCTCGTTTCACTCGCCACCCCACAAAGAGGCTGGCTGCCCATGGGTAGTGTGTGCAGGTCAGAGTTGGCGGTACAGTGTGTGAGAAAAGTGTTTCAATACGGTTGGTAAATTCGATTTGACGTTCGGGCATCAAAATGATCTAATTTCAGTAGTACTTGGAAACATCTGGCTATCCCCAAGGACAAGCCACTCGTGTAGTTTTACTAACAACAAAGACAGTTGAAGCTTTCACCATCACTTAATGGATGTTCCAACTATAATCAGATATCTAAGTTGCCTTAACATATACCACCACTGTTGCAATTTCCAATTCTGTGTCGTTATATTAAAGGCCCGTCCACTCGATCGAGCAGTGCCCGTCGTTGAGCGAAATCATGGTCAGCCTGCCTGGTGGTATATAAGTATTACAAATGTTATACGTACGTGTTCCCCGCTCAGTGTATAACCAAATGCAATGTACAATATTGATTGACAGGAGATTGTTTATGTAATGAGGACATTCGTGTGTGTTCTTCGTTCTCGTCCCATAGCTTCCTGTTTATGCATATCATAACTCAATCCATTTTTATGGATTACAAATCTCACCTGCAAGTAATCTTCCTCGAGTACTTCATAGCAGGTATTATGCGAGACAAACTTTGTTTCGATATCCTCGTGACGTGTAGGTGCATACCAGTTGAAAGATATACAAGCGTTGCCTCTGCAGATATACTTTCCCTCATATTGGTATCCTGGTTTTTTTTATATATGGTTCCACTTTCGCTCGAAATTTGTAAAAGGTGTTAGAGTCCTTTGTCATGTCTCGCTCGTGTCCATCTTGCCGTTCATCAAAATCAGTGGCATGGCTTAATGCTGGAAAGCTTATGCCATCCTTTTCATTTGCGCAATACTGGCGAGCCAAGTCTTTAAGCGCTGCTGTCGGGCGATTCTTCACTGCGATCATGTATCCACTACCGCCTGGCGCCCTTATTTGGCTGTCCTTACGTGTACAACCTGGCTGCCAGTAAAGATTAGAAGCCGCCGAACGCTGTTCGATCAACATGGACGAAGAACTTGGGAACAAGAGAGTCTCGGGTGCTCTAGGATGGGAAGAAACCGAACAGACGTCGCAATCGGACGTCTCAGACGGGTGACTCGTTAAAGAAGGTATAGCTACACGTTAACTCACAAACCACCCTCCGCTTTTATTCTCCTTCTGTACTTCCCACTTAACTATACCTTGCTCTAAATATCCTTGTTGACGGTTCTCTTATCTGTGACATGCACAACCGTCGTTATTACATCTTTAACCCACTTTGCTTTTTCAATGCCATTTTTCTCAATTTCAAAGCCTTTCCCATGTTGAACAAGTAAAAGGCAGTCTTTTTAGATTAAAATACTCTAATATACATTGCGGCGGAAATCCAATTGAAGAAGCGTTTTAGAATTGTCCAAACTACAGACTCCAAATTCACTACATGACCAGACCTCTAATTTTACCTTGATTTCGACTGAATATTGAAAGACTTGGGTCTATATTTAGTATTGCAGTGGTCATAGATGGAAGTTCATATTTTTATTTATAGGTTAGACTTTCATATGTCTTGCTTGGAATTTAGTATTTTACCACTTCTGGTGTTATTAGACAATACCAAGATTAGTTTAAACCAGTGATGATCGTACTTTAGTACAGGGCCACTGTGGATACGAGAATGTGTACTTTGAACGATTGGAAAGTAAAAAGCCACACATTAATGTCATCATTTGTCTATTGGGTTATGTTGTGAAAAAGTAATACTAATTTAAGAGGAGTAGAGCTGTATTTCCCGAAGCGTTTAACACCATTAAGTAGAGTATTTGAGAACTATGTATGGGCAAACTTTCAAACAGCAGACGTAGTCGAGATTTTATTATACTCTGGGTTTTGATTTAGTAAAAGCAAGGATTTGGATTATTCCATAAATAGAAAAACTTTATTGGTTACATATACTGGATATTCAATATGTACAAGTTTGACTTTACTTGCACAGAATGTAATGCAATACAGCTCACGACCCACAAATGGGGTAGAAGAAATAACAAAGATACTGGAAAGCAGTTTTTTTGGAGACAAATTTCTTGTAGTTTAACACTAGGAAACTCACTGTAATGCTGTGGGAAGGATCCACTAACCGCGGTAGAACTGGAGTAGGAAAGGAATTGTTGCGATCGAGTTCTCCAGCAACAGGTAAAAAGCAAGACAACTTTTGTAGACGCTCCGAATTGTTCTTGTGGTGACACTGCAGCTACCTCGGTCAACTCGTATAGGGTTCATGGTCGTTTGAGGAGCGTGTTCTAGAAATAGCAAGAAGATTAATGTTATGTAAGCCTGGCGGAATGGTTTAACGCGAAACTTATTTAAAAAGTTTAGTTTAGGTAATATCAAGACTAATAAAATTTACCTTTTTTTTTTGTCAAGTGAAATTTTAAACAATAGCTTCCCAATCGCCAACAAATAATTTACAATCTAAATATTTGAAGATACACTTACAGTACAGAAGATGTTGTAGCGTCGTCGCGTGCCAGTGTTCTGTGTTGACGTCGTTGTTGTTGTATAGATTGTCGGACCGTAGTCCGACACGGGCCTTTGCCTATAGGCGGCCCGTTTGGTGGTTCCGGCTGGAGCTCCAGGAGCAGCCAGACCGGATTGGGATTGGAGGTGGTCCCACCTGCAGATTGGAGGGATACTGCAGGTTGCAAGTGTGAGCGGACCCCTGATCAGTGGACGCTTACCACCAGCCCCCACTCTTGGACGTGGTCAGCTTCGGAGTGGCGCGCCCCCCGAACTGGGGTCCGCACTTGCTGGGAGAGGATGCTTTCTAAGCTATCTGGGTGGTGGGTATCGTGTGATGACCCGGAGTAGGTGGTGAATGTGGTCTGTATGGGCCTTTCGGGTTAGAGTGGCCGCTGGTGTTGTGTGTGTTTCTTGGGAGATTTGAGTTCTGTCTCGGAGGCTTTGTGTGACCTCGCAATCGAGGAGATAGTGTTCAAGTGGGTTGGCTGCTGGCTCCTGACAGTAGGTGCATTCCATGACGTCGTTTCCGATCATCTGCCAGGAGCACTTGTACCCTAGTCGTAGTCGGTGAAGGCTGACTTGGGTTTGTCTTGGAGTTTTCTTGTCTGCGAAAGGTGGTTCCCCTTTTGTGGCCGCCAGGTACCATTTGGCTGATTGGGAACCAGCGTTGAGTGCATGTAGGAAGCTCTTTTTGATGTGGAGCTTGGTAGTCTTTCTGAGGTGATTTTTGATCTGTTGCACACTTGCTGGAACTTGGATGTGTACGCTACTGGAACGTGTAGCTGCCTTGGCTGCTTCGTCTGCCACGTCGTTTCCTCCGATCCCTACATGACTGGGAGTCCAGTGTAAGACGACTGGTCGGCTTTGGCTTTGAAATTCCTGTAGCTGCGCGAGGATCGAGGTGATGATGTGGACGTTGTCTCTTGGTTGACTGTGTTGCAGCGCTTGCATGGCCGATTTCGAGTCCGTGTGAATTATGACGGACTTGTTGTGTTGTGTTGCAGCGTGTTGTAGGGCCTTTGAGATTGCTACCAGTTCTGTTTGTAGGGTGGAGCAGTCGTTGGAAAGTCTCCATTTGAGGGTCTGACCTTGGGTGTAGAAGGCCGCTCCGGATCTGTGATGTTTTGGGTCCACCGAGCCGTCTGTGAAGTATGATGCTGCATCAGCCGGTGTCTCGGTGGCTATGGCTTGGAGAGATATTTTTTTGAGGTACTCCTTCTGGAGGTTGGCTTTACTGTCGCCGAGGTCGGTGAATTTGAGTGTGGCTGGTGGAGGGCTCCATGGTGGAGGAACAGTGTAACCATTGTCTCGTGTGTCTTGGTTGTTCTTGACGAGTGTTTCTGCTTGCAGGTGTCGGATGACCTCGCTTGCCTCGTGCGACCAGGTGGCCCCTCGCACTCTGTGGTCGAGGTGGAGAGAGGCACTGATTCGAATCTTGGCAGCTGTGGGCTTGTCTGCTCTGCAGATTTTGGCGAGGAGACCGGCTGTCACCTGCTTGACTCGTACTGCCAGGGGTGGTAGCTCGGTTTCCATTTGCAGATTGCAAATTCTGGTCCACATGGGTGCTCCGAGCATGGTCCTGAGAGCATTGTTTTGAATGACTTCTAGCTTAGCTATTTGGTCTTCTCTCAGTCCAATGAGTGCTGGAGCACTGTAATCTACCAGCGATCTGATGGCGGCTGTGTAGTAGGCTTTGAGCACATGAAGGTTTGCTCCTGCGGGTTTGCTGGTGAGCGACCTCATTATATTGTGTCTGCTCTTCGTCCTGTGCCTGAGATACTCGAGTTGCGGCTTGAAGGTGAGTTTCTGGTCAAACCAGATTCCAAGACACTGGTGGGCGTTGGTCCAGACTACCTGCGTGTTTTGTATGGAGAGCGTCTTGTCTGGTGTGTCTGTGCAGATGGCCATCGCTTTCGACTTGGCTGGATTTATCTTGAGTCCAAGTCTGTTGCACTCCTCTTCTATAAGTTGGAGTGCGTGTTGCGTGTTGGCTAGTCTGTTCGATCCTCTTACTATAGGCTGTAAGTCGTCTGCATAGCATAGGAGCTTGGCTGTTTGTCTGAAGGGAAGTTTGACTAGATTTTCCATCAGGACATTGAACAGCATTGGACTGAGGATGCCTCCTTGTGGGGTTCCGTTTTCGTGGACCCTGTAGCTTGAGGTTGCTCCTGAAAGCGTACTCGTGCTTCTCTCTGTGTGAGGTAGTTCTGGATCCACCCCAGCAACCTTCCTTTGACGCCTTTTTTAGCGAGCGTAGTTGTAATGGCCAAAGGATTTGCTAGTTCGAAGGCTTTCTCCAGGTCGAGGAAGACCACCAGAGCTGGTTTGTTGTCCACTGTGCTGAGTATCTCGGCGATGTTGTTGCCTGTGCCGGTGTTCTCGGTGTAAGCAAAGATGTGAGGGTGTGGGCTGCCTACTTTCCACTTGAGTCGGTTGAGAGCCATTCTTTCTCCGGTCTTCGCTATGCAGCTGAGAAGGGAGATGGGCCTCGGCTTGTCTGGTTCTCTGGGCTTCGGAATGGGCTGTATATCTGCCTTCTTCCATTCCGGTGGGAGTCTTTGTGCTGTCCACGCAGCATTGATGGCTTGCAGCAGAGCCTCGTGTCCGGCTGTACCGGCATGAGAGAGCATGGAGTAGGTTATCCTGTCGGCCCCTGGAGCTGTATCCTTGCTTCGTTTTAGCGACTTCTGGAGTTCTTGCTGGTTGAATGGTCTGTCAGTGTCATCTTCACTGTTGCAGGCCTCTTGGATCGTCTGGAGTCTGACCTGTCGCAGACGCCGTTGTGTCTCCTCCGCCTGTCTCGGGAGGTTCTTCGTTGCTGCTCGGTCAGAGAACAGTTTTGCAAGTCTCTCGGCTTCTTCTTCTGGGTTGGGATGAGTTGGTGGTGGTGGTGTCGCCTTCCCAGATGCCCTTCGGATCTGGGCCCACATCTTGCCCAGGGAGGTGTGCTCGTTCAGTTCGGAGCACCACTTGAGCCAGCTTACGTTTTTAATTTCTTCCTTCTCTTCCCTGGTATCCTTGACTATGACTTGCAGGAGATGTCTGTTTGTTGCCGTGGGATGTCTCCTGTAGTTTCTTCGGGCCCTGTTCACTCTGTGGTTGAGTTCTTTCACCCTGGGACAGTAGTACCAGTAATCATTGTACTGTCTTGATGTGGGTTTTGTTTTTGGGATAGCCTCTTCTGCCGCTAGGTGAAACGCCTCGACCAATTGGTGGTGGAGGGTTGTCTCATCCGCGGGTGCTGCGCCGGCCGGCTGTGATTTTTCGCGCCACTTAGCCAGGTGTTTCTTGAAGAGTCCCCAGTCTGCCTTTTGAGTGTTGTATCTCCATCTCAGGGGGGGTGGAGTGGGGAGTTTGTTCACCTTCAGCGTTGTTAGGGTGGCGAAGTGGTCACTGGTCAGCGTGGGGTGTATCTGCCAGGAGGCCGAAGGCTGTAGTGCACTGGAGACGAAGGTTAGATCTAGCCTTCCTCCCCTAGTGTGGGTGGGCTCTCCGGTGTTCAGGAGGCAGATCTCGGGTGTATCTTGAAAGGTGGTGTATAGGTGTAGGCCGTCTTCATTTGTGGGGCTTGCCGAGCTTAGGAAGGGATGATGTGCGTTGAAATCCCCTCCTATGAGTGTGGCGTGGTCGGCGGCCGAAGCAAATAATTGAGTAACCTCCAGTGAGCCCCTTGGGTTCTTGTAGATGTTGTGAACAGTTAATTCCCGTTCTTGGAGGGTTACTTTGACGGCCTGTGTCTCGATGTTTTCCCCACATGGAAATTGCTGCGTGACATCGGCGGAGGGTATGCTTGACTTGACCAAGATCATACATCCTCTTGTTGACGCCTGCGTGAAATGCCTCCTGTATGTCTTGTAACCGCTGAATTTGAAACAGTGGTGTTCTTGTAGAAGTGTTTCTTGTAGGAGTATGATGTCAAGCTTGTCCTTGGCTGCTGCTTCTTGTAGGAGGTGTTTCTTGTTTTTGATGCCCTGAGCATTCCATGTTAGGATGTTCAGGGTGCTGACGTTTTCCACCACTGTTTCATCGGGGACTTCTGGTGGTCCTCGATGGAGATGTCCAAGTTCGATTCCAACTGAATCAGGTCCATGTCTTCGTGTTCTGTGGTTTTTGCCTTCTGGGCCGTGGTTCGGTTCAGGGGAGTTGAAACGTCCAGTTTCTTTCTGGGAGCTGTCGGTATCTTGGGAGCTGTCGGTGTCTTGGGTTCTCTGGTGGCCTTCTTCGGTGTAGAGTGTACCTCGGCTGTTACTCGTGTGCGGACCGGCGTGGCTTCCTCCACTGAGGTGGCTGGAGCTGTGGCGACTTGCCCGAGGACGCTCCCCATGAGTATTTGGAGCTGTGTGGGTTGGATCTTGTGGCCCAGTAGTCCGGCTAGGCCCTCCGCGAAGGTCGTCAGTACATTGGCTAGGTCTGATATGTGTATCATTCCTTCTGGTGCCTTGGTGTGTGCTTCTTTTGTCTTTCTCGTGGTTGTCGTTCTCTGCTGCTTGGGTGGCTGAGGTGTGGCTGTAGTGAGGCCAGGAAACTGGGCTGCACTTTGGGTGTTGACTGGCTGAGGAGGTTGTCTTTGTTGTTTGGGCCTTTGGGTTCCCCACACGAAGGTACTTGGTGGGGCTGGTGTGTAGGCGGTGGGGGCCGGTCTTGCTGCTGGTCGGTTTGCCTGGACCCTCTTTGTTCTCTCGGAGCATCCAGGATTCCAGGCGTGGTGTTTGCCCCCGCAGTTGGCACACTTGGGGGCAATTTTTTCCCCATTTTTCAGTTTGGTGAGGCAGGACTGTGTGCCGTGCTTCTGTGCGCAGACTGCGCAGATTTCCCTGTACGTGCACCTTGTCTGATGGTGCCCGTATTTCTGGCATCTGAAGCATCGCAGGGGCTCTGGGACGAAGGGCCTCACTTCGTAGATCCCCCAGGTTTTGAGGTCTATGGTGCTGGGGGGTGAGCCGTAGTGCGTTATGAGGACTTGTTTCGTGGTGGCCGTCTTGTCGGACAGGGGAGAGCATCTCTCGGCTTTTAGGATCTTCGGGTGGTTCTCCAGGGGTTCGAGAGGTAGTTCCTTTGGGT